AATTATTACAATAACTTCTTCTTCTTTTTTTTAATAATCGAGTAAGAACATGGATATGATGCATTTATTTTAAAAAAATACCTTCAACACCATCTATTGTTCGACCGGTCTTCGGATCAACCTCTTCATCAACATTTGTCCCGTCATAGGTAGCACGGGTAGATGGACCAGCTTTTGCTTGAAAAACTAATTTTTCTATTCGGTCAAAAAAATTGTTCATCTTTATGTCCATCTTCATCTCCATTCGCTCCATCTTCTTCTCCATCATCATCTCCATTCGCTCGGAAAATATTCTCATCTCGTCCTTCACAACTTTCGTCACAACTTCCCTGACTATAGTTCGAATATTTTCAGCATCCAAAACTTGGGGTTGTGGTGGATCGGATGGAGATGTATCATTTTTTTCTTCCTCCTCTTCCTTACCATCCTCAGCGTCATTTTTTTCTCCTTCTTCTTCTTCCTCATCTTCAGGCACACTTTCTTGATCCTCTGAAGTTATGCTGAAATCCTTCAAGTATGAAGTTTCAACTTCATCACTTGAAGGTTGTAACGTTCGTCGAACTTGAACCTGATTGTAGAATAATTAGTTTTATCAAAACTATAAGAATAAATAAGATGAATTATCCATAACTAAAATTACCTCCGATGTGTTGAAAAACGTAATAAGTTGCTCGCTTCGCACATGTTTGTCCATTTTCCAACACATTATTCTCGGAAGTCCGCCAGTAGAACATTGTTCAGCAAATTGTCTTCCTAAATCAGGCAGTGCCTCAAATGCCCAAACCTGATTAGCAAACAACAAAACAAAATTAAGAATACAACTAACATAAATAAATAAGAAATATAAACATATATTTATATGAGAAATACCATGATAGCTAGGGGAAATCCATGAAGAGAATATGCTATCGACTTTGGGTTTTTTGTTTTACCGAAACTGTTCCGCTTAAACAACTTCACGGTGTACCCATACGACAAGTTTCCACAAGGATAACTATTGAAATGCTCCAAATCTTCAACCAAATGGAACCATTTTTCATCTACGAGAGTCCGACACTCTGCAGACAAAATCACGTGCTCGAGGACCGTGATAAGCCCCAATTTGTATTTCAAGTTTGCATCTTCCTTCTTCTTCAATTCATCAAATTTCTCGAGCAAATCCTTCCTCATTATCTTCCCACGCTTCTTTTTGAATAGATGCAAAAGCGAACTACTTCTTTCGGGGACCTTGTACTCGGGATCATCCACGATCTTTAATCCGGTTACAAGAGAAAACTCTTGTAACCCGAGTCTAGCTTGGTTTTCTCCGAACTTGAACCACACGGAATCATTTTCATTGTCGGATGATTTCAAGGTCCTCATAAGAAGGTGGTGGATTATTTGAGACGACAACTTCAACTCTGGAATGTGCACTAATGGGCGGAAGCAAGATTCCAAAAAAAGATGTTTATGTTCATCATCTAGCTCATCAAATACGTGATTCACAACCTTAAGGTCGCACCTATTGGTCACGACTCCGGAGCATTTAGAAGGTATGTCAAAAGCATACTCCATTTCGGTTCCTAAAAGCATAGAAAAAAGACAACATATGCCATAAATTAAAAAGTACAACATCAGTCATAAGTTACAACAATCACATGCACATTATTAAGAGATTAAGAAGTACAACACACACACGATTGTTATTTTCGTTATGGTTATTTTTTGATCGAATACAACTATAACGATTTACATCATATTTCCATTCAAAAAAGATACTAAACTCCTAATAGGTATATTATTAGT